AAAAAATGATTATAAATAAAATCAAGATTGGAAGCTATCATTATTTTTATTATCATTATTATTAATTTTAAAATTTTTTAATTTTCTCTCCTAAAAAATATCAAATGTAGTTGACATTTTCGCCACCAGTTGCGGTGCTGAAGTACCGAACTTCTCTAGCGGTTCGAGGTCGATCGACCTCTGTTTTTTATATAATGAGTGTACGTCTTTTTTGCTTCGTTCGATTGTGCGTGATTTAATAACTATTTAATTGTTCTCGGAATTCCCTCATTTACGGTGCTAGCTTTATTAAATGATAAAAAATTTGTCTTGACAATTGTCTATAGTAACTTGAATTATTACTTGTACATTGGTGAATTTTGAATAGTTTACAATTATGTCATCGTCTTACTATCGAGTAAAAAAATGGCGTGCATTAAGAAAACAAATAAATACAAACATTTTTTGTTACTATATGTAGCATGCAGAATGTTAAATGATTCTGATAATGCTGTACGTCATGTCGATTATGCACAAGATCCGTTAAGAAAATTTTTTGAATTATTGCCATCTGAATATGGAGATGATTCACAAGTATTAAGCATGCATAACTTAATTCACGTGGCAGACGATGTTCGTCATAATAGAGTTTCTTTAAGTGAAATATCTGCTTTTTGGGGAGAAAATTATATAAGCTTGTTTAAACATTTAGTGAAATCTCCAAAAAAGCCGCTTACTCAGATCGCAAATCGACTAAGTGAATTAGAATGTAGTGATAAATTGAAAATAAAAAAAAAATCTACGTTGTGTACATGTAAATATATACTGCCAATGTGTTTATTTGTAGACAATCACCAAAAATATTTTAAAGTTCAATAAGTGGAATTACAAGGATTTAATCTAACTTGCAAGCATCCTAATAATGTAATACAATTAAACGACGGCAAAATTTTTATGATTCATAGTATATTAAATATTAGTGAAAATTGTGCAGTTCAAGAAAATATCAGCAATCTATATATTTACGGGACTATAGAAAATAGAAAAAAAGAAGTCTTCGATTTCCCCACTCCGTCAACAGATGTTGGTGTTTTGAAAATAGTTTCTTGGGAGAAAGATAAAGTCCTAGTTGGAATTCGATACGTACATCGAAAGTGTATGCTTTTTAATGTAAACAATTCTCAATATGTCTTGACATTGCTACATGTATAAGTTGATTGGTATTTCGTGGTACGCAACGTGTTCATACTTGTTGGTGTTTTATTTCTTCTATTGAATATTTAGTGATACAGTTCTCAGTCATCAGTTTAGTCTGAAACAGTCAAGTGTGCTCGTCAGTTTTCTTAAACTCAGTGACTATAACATCAGTGGTTATAATAATATCTGGACATAATTCTGACGATAATAACTTTTGATAATGTCCGATTCTGATGTTTTGTATGTTGTGGTGGAGTTTGACGAATTAGTCAATAAAAAAAAGTGCGTGGAGTTGTTGCCAATTTCTTGGTTATCAGATGATGATAGCAGGTGCTATTATCCTCCCAAGAAAGACTATGAAAAAGTGGATGAATGGACAAAAAATCTAGAGGATCCGAAAGAAAATTGGTCATCATATCCTATAAACATTATTGCAACAGCTAGTAAGTAAAAAAAATAACAACTATTACATTATTTAATTTGTTTTTCTTGTTTTCATTAAACGACATTTTCTGGAATTGATTCTTTGAATGATAATTATCATCATCATTTAAAAGTAATTAATTACTTTCGAAATTTATATATTTTTGGGATATTGTATATTCATGTATTTTCTTCATAATTTTTTGTATTTTAGTAATTATTATTTCTGAATAACGATTTTTTATTACACTGATATTTGAACAAATTTAATTATCATTATAGAAGACTACGAGCAAGGACTACGACGATTGAAAAGATCTTTCAAAAAAAAAAACAGTGAATAGTTCTGACAGTGAATCTCAACAATTAGCAAGTTCAGAACCTCTCCTGTTGGACTCTCAAAGTGTATCAAAATCATTACTCAAAACAAAACCACTGCCAAGAACTGAAAATAATGCGCTTGGAACAATTTTTGAAAATGACTCAGATTCCATCGCTGGTCCATCTAGTCGGCAGCAAATGACCTCTATTAATGAAGGTTAGTATGAAGTGTCTTTCTTTTTCTCAAACTGATTTTTCTGTGACGATATGCCATGTTTTTCCTAATCCAAATGATGTATTGCAGCTATTGATGATTTAAAAGTATTTTTCAAAAGAGAAATAAATAACGCAAAGCGAAGTATTTTATATGATTTGGAACAGAAGATTAATACGATAAAAATTGAATTATCAAAACGTCCAGGTGAAATTGCACCATCAGAACCCTGGAGAATTATAGGTGAACTCTTGCCAGCTATGGAAATTAATAAATTCCTAGAATTAAATGAAATTTTAAGTACAGACAGCGAAAAACAAGATGCACTGGTACGTAAATCAAATATTCAACTGTATATTAATATTATTTAATTTGCTTTGTTGTATCACTTATATTTGTCGTTTTATTTACAGAAACAAATTTTTCAATTAGAAACCATTGGTTCCACGAATTATGCTGCAGATATCAATAAAATTCTAAAAAAATTAATTGGAAAAGAGGTTCAATTACTGTATAGCGGATGCGGTAGAATGGCAAATGGGGTTGGAAAAAAAAATTTTTCTGCGACGGAATTTTTCAAAATCATGAATGGTAAAGTATGATAATAATT